ATCTGAATTGTACACCTCTGGACAATCGAACAGGAAGCTCGGCTAAAGTTCCACAGTGCGATGAGAAGGCCTCTGCGACCGTTACCATCATGTTGGTAAACGATTGCTGCTAATACGCCTCTGAAACGACCTTCTTTCTACATAGACCTATGTTTAAGAAAAACAATACTGTTTAGTGATGAGAACAAGTTCTCCTATGAAATTCCCACAAAAAGCTAGCTCATTTGAGCCCTACAATTTAGACTATTCTATGCCATTATAGCAGTATCAATAACTAGAATCGGACCGACCTATAGCACGTACGTGCAATTTGGGTTAGCTAAGGCACTATCCGATTGTTGCTACAACAACAATTTACCGTGCACTGATTAGCGAAGAAAATTTTTGCAGCGATGTATACGACAATGCTCCTGGTTGTCGTTGTAGTGCTGTTAATATAATGGTATCGGCGCTGCGTTCATAAGTACCACGTTAAATGACAAAACAACATATTACGGTCGTCGCTATTTGTGAGAAAGGCCTAAATTTAGCCTGAATAACCAGTGACTCGCGTGCAGAGAACAAATGATACTATTGTGTATTACACAACGTTACTACAAATGTGGTCGAGAAAACATTGGAACTCACCAACAAATTCACACAGAAACACCGATAAACAAAACTCACCAAAAAAATAGCCCAACCAATTCTAAGATGAAGAAATTCGAAATGCTCTACGTGGTTGGACAGCCATAAACGACGCTCACAGACCATTTATGAATTGCTAGACCTAGCTATTGTTGATCATTTGAGAAATGTAGAATAGAAATTATACCTTTTTCAAACGTCCAGTACTAACGAACTATATATGTATATAGATCAAGAAAATAATAAGTAAGCTATTTAATATTTCATATTTTCACTATAACGTACGACCAGAATATGTGCACCTAAACACGACGACACGTAATCATTTCGATCCATATGTTTAGACGGGATACTTTCTGCGGCAAGTGTATCTGGAGCTTTCGGTTGAAGATTGTCTATTTGAAAGTCTGTCACACCTCGAGGATTGATCTGGAGTTCTGAAGGATCGACCCTAGTGCATTATTCAGCAACTAATACTTTAACTTAGCTACCAGAATACACGTATTTGTTCCAGAAATAGCAGTCTGCATTACTGGGGCCGGCTGATTACTACAGACGTAAAGTTTTGCAATTCGCGCTGCTTTAAGGGTATCAAAAGTGATAGCATAAGTTACTCTTACTCTTCTAAGAATTAGCTAAATATGCGTATGAATGGATGATCTGACTCGTTTGAGCACATGGTTTTCGCCTGGATTTGCCAGTGTTTATTACAAGGCACGTACATTAAATGGTGACTGGTAAGTTGGCATTGCTGCCGGACGTGAGAAAGCGAAAAAGTATTCTCAAGGTAACGTTTCGGATCCTGAATAGAGTAATTAGCACGCCTATACGCAACGTGAGCATAACACGGATGGACAGGCAATATATGGTGATGGTTTAACGTCGGTAGTAAAATTAGAAAAATCTTCGAAAGATGGAACGAAACGAAGAGCACGAGGTGCGTTAGCTGTCTCTGAGGAGCGAAGAAGAAAGGACGAGGTTCCCGTCTGGTCTGATGGCGAATCAGCAGAGGCCAGCTATTAAGATTCCAGCGACTTCCTTCCTTTTCCCCCGTTCCTTGATTCTCGCGTTTGCTGTGACTCTTCCCAGAATCCGGCGGAGCTAGAGCAACATTCTAGCTTCTCACTGAAGTATTCTTTAAGCCGTTTTCATTGGGCCATTAGTGGCAGTGGATCTATCGCAATGCAGAGACTAGTTGTACAGCGGAGGTTTTGGTTGGAAGCACTCAATGCTGTTAGGCCACGTTAAACTGCTACAAGTGGGCTTTAATGTACTTATTTGCGAACTTGAAGCTGTAAAACCTTTACTCTTCTCTTGCGCACTGCCTATTATTTTCTTTTGAGCTGGTAATCAAGCTAACGGCGCGTTTCTGAGCAAGCGACACTTTCATTTTAATGATTTGATGTTCCAAATGCAAAGATGCCCGTAACCGACATACCCTCAAATCGCTACCTATACGGGCGGCATATAATTGTCTCGATGGGTCTGACAAGGAAACCCTATAATAAAAATTTACGTCTGGGGAAAATTTTAAAATTTACTAAATTAAAATAACGACTCAAATTGTGCACGCTACCAGACAACGCTGCTAAGTTGAATGTGATCCTATTTAGCTTAGCAGATTTGAGACGTATTAAACTGAGCCAATATGTATATCATCTATGTTACCATTTATTAAACTTTACGCTTGTTTGTAGTTATAACTTCACTTATTCGCGAACATGCCGCTGTTTTGTCTCTTTTCCAGTAACCCCTAAACTCTTTCAAAAGAGAAAAAAAATTTCAAGACAAGAACGTACTTAAAAGTAAGAACAAAATGAAGGTTTTTCTCAAAAACTATTTGAAAACAGGTGAGGAGGTGGCAAGTGACGTACGGATTCCAGGTGCGCGGCGGAGAGAAGGGTCGCTGCTGTCGAACATCAACCCCACTCTTTTCGGATTACTATGCAGGCCGAGTAAAGAAAGGAACTTAGCTTCCATAATCTTAATCTCTATTTCCGCGCTGCTGTTTACACTCGGCACCGAGTGCACGTACACGGAATAACGGGGCTATATGGGTCACTATGTTTCCTCCAGTCAAGGACGTTATTGCAAAACTCAGTTCTAGATATTTTTGATGTACACGGGTAAGTAGATTTTTTCATTGAACGAATTTCAAAAGCTGGGGCTGTATGGGACAGCTAAGTACTCTCCTACAAATTATCAAACCTTTGCTAAACATTACAAAGCAAAATAAACATATCGTTTCTTTATGCGCTCGCCCCATAACTATACGTTCAACGATAAAAGTTAAGCCTTGCCAAAGTAATTCCTTAAACTAAATTGTATAGTTAGCGTGGTATCTGTATAGATTCGTTTTACTTTGAGTTTATATGAAACGTCGTTAAACCGAAAGGCTGTTGTCGGCTTGACTGAAACACCTCATCCTGACGATCAGTGGTAAATAAAAAGCATAGAAAAATTACTTAAAATTCAAATGTGACGTTTTTAATTTTTACAGGCATATTTTTTTGCTTCGAATTCGCTTAGCGATTTTATTTAATAGCACACTAAAAAAATTATGTTTACAAACCGCATCGCCAAGACCGTACAACGTCATCGACAGATGTATTCATTGTCCTCAATGCAAAAAAATCCCAAATGATTTACGATTGTTGATCAGCGTTATGCTATACACCCGATGATCATGTAGAAATCTGGTCAGGCAGTTGTTCATTATTAATGAATTACCTGTGCACGAGTGATTAAAATCAGACCTTTTGTCTCGTCATGTAGATGCTTCTATAGTGTCCGGCTGCTAGTGGACTCGAAATCCTAAAATGGTGTCTACCCACAAAAGGAACTGGTAGAAATAAAATGTAGTCCAAGACTGCGCAAGGAATAGCTGCGGCTATTGCAGACAGGGATCTTTCTGTCAAAAAGACAGCTGGAATGGTAGAAACGGTATTGCAATGACAGCTCAAGGCCGTGGAACAAACTACAACTACTACTAACACGCCAAACGAGCTTGCTTCAACATACGCGCCGTGCGTTTCATGTCATACGCCGCATGTCAAGGGGTTACGTTACTCAACGCGTCAGGGATTATACAAGATTGTCCCATATTCAAGACGGGGTCAATTGTGCATGAATCTACACATAAACCGCATAAATAGTTGACATCACAGAGGACGTGAAAGGGAGGCGGCCTGACGGCTCGGGAGCACGATCCATGCTCTTTGCAGCACCCCGAAGAGATGTCCCTTGACTTTTAATGAGTTTTACTGAGGAAACGGTTAAACTTTTTGTCGAGAATCTTAAAACATTGACAGAATTATGCAATTTTATTTTTTTTAGATGTCCTTGATATCTCGACGGGACGTCTTTCCTTACGCAATGTTCTAGAAAAAAAATTGCGCCGAAAAAAGGGAAACTACTTGTTTGAAGGTGATCACAAGAATACGGAATCCTTACTACAACGCTTTGCAAGTGGAAGCAACGTTTCTCTGTGTTTTGTGTTTTCTTGGATGCACAAGGAACATGTACTATTGGCTGCACTCATTAAAAACCAAGGTTTTGCAAAATCGTTCGCATAGATCACAAATGAGTTGTATTTACAGTCTATGACATAGTCAAACTGGTAGAAAGTGCGCATAAACAACTGTTTGCAATGACAGATATCATTAGCGGGTTCCAGGAAGAAAGGGATCTTTTGCTTGAGCAAAAACATATTCACAAGAAGCATGACTTTTTTTTTTCTTTAACGGCTCAATCTGATAATCAGCCGGCGCCGCTGGACCATTATAGAGTGTAATTCCAACTAGGCAGCCGATAATCTCCAAAAATGTAGACATTTTTGCTGGCAGCCTTGTTGCCATTCTGTCGCACGGACTAAGAGGCCGAGCCTCTAAATCGTACGTTATTCTTGCAAAAAAGCATTAGCAGCTTTATTTTTGAAAATATGGGCTCGTTCGTCTTAGCAGTCCCATTGAACTGAAACATCTGCTCATCTGTACATAACATCATTACATATTTTGTGTACAAAAACAAATAGATACAATAGATATCTAGAAAACGTTCAGCTAAGATTAAGATCTGACTGATCTCATTGCTCCTAGCAAAAACTCGTTAGTGGCCCATATAGCCTAAGGTGGTAAGGCTATATTCGCTTAGATATATATATATATCTTTCATTAATGATTATTTCTCACACAAATTGGTTGCCTATTTTAAGGTATGAGACACAAGCGAAGTTGGCGAATACGCTGATAAGGTATTTTCTTCTCAGGTGACAGTAATTCTCCTAAAAGTTAGTGTTTAATAAATACTTCTTTATATAGCCCCCGTCTCCCCTATATATTAGATCGAAACGCGACTTTTTTTCATTTGTTTGCTTTCTATTTTTTAGTGATGTACATCATTCGAAAATGTTCTTTCTCTTCATCTTCTCTGGCAGTCCACTATAATAATTAGTTGTGCAGTGAGTTAAAATTTATGTCAAATTCAAGCTCCAGGTGAAAAAAACGCGCTTTCGTCATCGATTTTACTTCGCCTTTTGTTGAACAGGCTGCTGAAGCAGCACAACATAGTTTTGTCGTGTACAGAGAGGACTGCAAAGACGATTTGCGAAGTTTCAGAATGTCATTTTGAAACTGAAGGACGCACCGGCCTCGGTCGTTTATCTGAAGCCGGTCAGAACCAATTAAAGGCATTGTTGAAAAGAGGCAGCCAGAAAAAAATTCGGAAACAATTGAATCAAGTGAGAAAACGAACTGCAGTCATCAAAGTATCGAGTGCAACTAAGATTCACAGGGTTTGTTCAAAATTTAAAAATTTGTATGCCCCATAGTCTGAGCAAACGAAGAGCACCGCTTCTCGTCGCCTTTCAGCATTTTGCCAGGCACCGAGCAATATCAATCACAATAACAGATTTCCGATGGTTAACCTTAGAAAAGCAACTGTGTCTAAGAAGCAACTGTGTGTGGCAAAAAAACGGAGAAAATAATGGGAAGCCATAAAAGATACACCTAAGCCCAGAGTTAAGCTAGATCTCCATTACAAAAAGACGATGATTAGCGTTTAGTGAAATGGGAACGGTCTTATAGACGGAGCATTGCTTAAGAAGGACAAAACGGTCACCAAAGAACTGTACATGGTCTAGTTGCATCGAGTAAACGATGCCGTCCACCACGGAAGATGCGATAGACAAAGCCAAGCCACCCCTTTTCCACCACAATACCAGGTCGCACATAGCAAGGAGATGAATGGCGCCCTGCAAGACTTCAGGAATGAGGTCCTTTTGCATTCATCACCTAGCTCCGATAGATTTTCGATCACTGGCTAATGAAAATTAGCAACCACATATTTGAAACTGGAGAAATCCTCAAAATCTGGCGCTTTATGAACTCGTTAACATCGGACCTGACAACTGAGGGCAGGAAAAAAATAAATTGGTTGACAGGTGAAAAATAGTGACAGCGAATACATAATTTAGGTAAGTACGATCAACTACTGAAGTGTTTCAGTACTTCGGTTCTGTTGTTGTCATCGGATTTATTTAAGGAAGTGTATGCAGGTTAATTTTGTCAACGTTAGTCACTGGATCTGAAGACAGCTTCAACTAATAAAACTAAAAAAATAAGATTTTCTACAATTTTCGTCTTTGACTCTGAGTAACAAAAGCAACAATAGTTAGGCAACCAGTCTGCGATTACGCAATGCAACGCAACAATATCAGAAACACATTACGTCGCATAATGTTGCGGCAGCTAATGGTTTGTGTACCGTTCACTCTCACTGGGCTCTAGCCTTTCCTGTAAGCACGCCCACTCTTGTATTTGTCTGCTCGTTACCAGTTCCTCGGTATTTGTTTTGCTTTAGCAAAATCGTATTATAGCATAGAGGTGTGTACTTGTTCCTTTAGGCACAAATACCGGATCATGGAGAACAAGGGCAGCGGCACCAACAGCAACGACAGAATACGAAACGGGATTGAAACTCTGATTGGATGGCGAAAGGAACATCGAGGGTCGGCCTTGTGGCCTCGTTTCAAATTCAAACGAGTGGTCCATGCCGCCCTTTGTGTCGAGTCGGGACGACATGCGTACTCTTTGGTAGCTATGCGGCCCTGTCGTAACGACCTTGATTAGGTTCCGCTGGCTAACGATAGCTAACGCAGAAGAATGCGTACGCTGGAATCTTACAAGCCATCAGCGGTATGTTATAGGTAAGAAAATAGCTAGCAGCTGCTACCTGGCAAAGGTCTACCTACAGTATAAATCTCTTATAGACCCCCATTACGTTCGTTCTTCCTTTCTGCACTACACACCATATAACTGAACACCCTACAATATATATATATATATACACCCTGCGTACTTTTTGCTTTTTTTCTACGGCTGCGACCCCTATGCGGATTTCCCTAGCGAGACTGAACTATAAGCACCGGTAGTAGCGAAAGGAATCGCTTTATGTGGTAATACATATAGGATACAGCTTGCTATATAGTAACCTCCAAGTGAGCCACCAGGGCGATATGTTCTTGTGTGTGCATGTGTGTGTACTTATAGAACCCCTACATATAGCTTTGCTTTGATCAAACATCAGCTAGAGCTTAGGCGTTGTCTGATATAAGTCAGCTCCTTGCCTCAAGCGCTTGATGCGGAAGACACCAAACAGAAAAGATCATAATACACTAGGTGCATAGCTTTGATGAACAACATTACAACAAGATGTTGTTCAACAAGATAAAAAGCTGGGACGAGCCAGTGCCGTCGGCTGATGACATTTTCTCAAGTATGCAACCTGTTCTGCTATAAATTAGCAGCTATAACCCTTCTTTCTTATCAGATCAATAATATTTCATCTTTTTATAGCGAATCAATCTATGATATAGAATTCCTGACTGTGGAACCTTCGTATTGAAGTGCCATTTCTGTTCCTAGTAAGGCCCTTAGCAACAGTCTTCTCTACCTTTTTTTTTTTTCATGTGCCTCACGCTGCCCCACATGTTAATAACCATTTTAAAGGGTAACTAGTTAATGCCATTCAAACGAAAAGGCTAGGTCTATCGATTTTGGTCGCTCTTCTGATTTTTGTTTTTTTATTCTTCACTTTTTAACTCACAAACACCTCAAATTAAATAACTCATTGGTTTCGATAGGATCTTATATATTAGAAAGTCTATTCACTGCTCTCATTATCTTTGAGACGAGATATAGACTTGTTGGTTTTTTTTACTAAAGAAGTAACAAACGCGTATTAGGACTTACTCGTTAAAAAAAAATTGTCAGACATGTTATGGGCAGGCGACGAAACTATTACTAGTTTAACGTACTTTGTTCCGGAAAGACATCGAGGTCGATCTGTGTTTTACAAGGACTTTGGTAGCTGAAGCATCAACAGATTAATAGAAATTGGCTTTGAATTCCATACCTTTCTGGCGAAATTCCACGGCCGCTAAACAATATTCGTAAGAAGTTTGGGAAAACTGTGTAAATTTGTTTCTGAGAAAAGTCCCAAAGAATGGGTTTAGCGTAAATGTGCATTCAGTGCTTATTAAAAAAAAAAACTAAAACCCTTCAAGTAAGCTCTCGAAAAGTTCAAACGATCGTGGACAAATATTGAACTAATACTGAAATTCAGGGATTTCTTTAAATAAAACTGATTAACTGCGTGTAGAACGCTCCCTGATCAGAGAGGCCTAGGGTAATTCACTCGCAAGCCGTAGTGACAATGAAGATAAGTTTTCTGCATGTTATGGTGCGCCGGTCAAAAGGTAGTGTCCACCCCTTTCCAAATGTTCCAATTTTTCTGCCAGTATTCGTTTCTTTACGTTTACTAGACAAAGGCCCTCCTTGTTATAAGCCTGTTCTAATTCTGTCGTGTAGTGAACGGATATTTATTTCGAATTTTCCCAAACTCTTGATGATAAAAAGAAAAAAGGTCCTTCCTTGACACCAACTCTATTTTCCTGTTTGGCAAGTTTTCGAAGCTTCGAAGCAGTCTCTGGTATTTTTACTGTAAATAACGCGTGTAGGAGCCGAGAGCACTTACTCATAGAAGGTTGCTGAGTTAAGAAAATAGTATCTTAGATTTAAAGGATGTAGAAGGCTTTGGTTAGCCATTAGAGGTTGGGATGACGATGGGATTAGTTAGACACTAGGAGCCTGGGTGAACAATACGAAGAAACACGGCTCCTTATTGCCTACGAACTTTTCGCATGGCACCGAGCCGTTGTCGGCAATGAAAGGGAGCGCTTTTACGTTAATAAAAGGTAGAAAAAAGAATAAGTAGTTTAAAGAGAGGAGCTCTGTCCGAAGGACACCGTGATTAACATTTGGTGGGCCGGGGAGAGTTTGATACATAGGTAAATGCTTGAGAACGACAAGATAACTAACAAAAATCTTTCTGCGACGTAGTAAAATCGAGAAGAAGAGGCCGTTTTCAAGACAAATTCATCCTTGTCCATAATAACGCTGGACATTATATGACTAAAATCGTTAAGGTTGCGCTACAAGATTTTAAGTGGGAGCTTTTGTTGGAATGTACCGTATTCTTGAGATTTCACGCCGAAGGCACGTCATCTTTTCCGAGGCAACTGAGATTCCTTAAGAGATGGAATAAAGTATTGGCTGAAAAATGATAGGTAGTTGTAAAGCTTTACGGCAAATACAAAGAAAGGATTCAAGTGAGACATTGCGTTTATTGTCAAAGAAAATCGACGTCACTTTTCAACCAGTCTAAAGCCCCTGATCACCTTTTACAATTCGTTTTTTTGCGGCAAACAAGTTGAGCTGTTGAATGTTACCTATTTCTATATATTTGCACCGCAGAGGGCTTTCAAACGAGAGGGGCTTAGCAAAGCCCACGGGCAATGGCTAGAGCTGCAGTTTATTTTTGTTACAACATTTTGTTGACAAAATCGATTTAATAATTTCCTAGCGGTTGCAGACGCTAGTTAAAGATACGTGTTCGTGTGTATCATCCGCTTTCGCGAAATACAACATAACTGTGGTAGAGTAGACTTAATTCGAGAGTCAACACTCGGATGCTAATGGGAAAGCTCGGTCACATGCAGATAAACACGGGGCGAAGCGCACGCGTAAATTTGGTACAATAAAAAGTACATTTTGCATTCGAACAGACTCCAATAGTGATCTCGATTTTTCGTCTGATGAGAAGACGTAAACGTACGAACGACATTTGGGCCTTTGGGAACAATTGGGCTTGGGTTAAAATAGGCTTGTTGAATTGCGTAGTTTTCACGAGTAGTCGGTTAAATAACGACCACCGTTTAGCAACTGCTACACGCAGCGCACCGAAAGAGTAAAAGCGTTTTTTCAACATACTGTATGTAATTGCTATTAATTCATGGAGGCAGATATCGATGGCCTAAAGCGTTTTCAGGTCAACGGACAGCAATCAATGGCGGGCATTAAGAAGGAAAGATTTTTGATCGTTTTCTAGTGATCGAGACAATCCATGAACGGCTGCAAGGTTTCAAGATGCCTCGTTTCGTCTTCTTCGTCCATTCCAATCTCTCTATTTAGCTGAAATCATTGGCGTCGGTGCATTACGATAGGAGCATCTCGATGAGATATGGTAGATAAGCCAGAGCTGCTCGGGAAGAGGTCAGCTAGCAAATCCCTGATAAGTGAGTTCGGTTAAGGTTTCATGGGTCAATACATCCTCGTGGCAATTAATAGAAATTGTTAGTAAGTGACCTCACGGTTTGCTCTTTATTCGTCGCCCAAGCATTAGAAGTCGAACGGATTATGCCACCCAGTGTCTTTCTTCCTTAATCTACCTCTCTTTCACGGTGTTGTGTCAGTTAGTTTATAGACTAAGCAGTGATTTATTGTCTTGCAAAGAAAAGACGATAATTTTTTAAGATAAATTAATGTATGCGTGTGCTTCCGCGTCTCTGACGCCTAAAGCAGATATTTTTCAAATTATGGTTTACGAAGGGAAAAAATAAGTGTGCCAGCAACGTTTAATTTTTGTGCCTTTTCAGTATCTCGTGTCTTTGATGACTGGCATCGGGTCAACAAACCCAGTTGAACTGCATGTTTATATGTTCTGAAGTAAGCCAATTCTTGGGATTTCAGAACTTTCTCCTAAAAAATAATAAGTACTAGCTAAACAATCGTTCGCGGCGTCGGTGTTTCTGCAACACGGTTTGGCAGGTTTTTAAGTGTGAACTTACGACCTATTTAGAAGTTGGATTGAGGGCTGGAGTTAAGAGGATCACCGGGTACCATTATTAATAAGTAACGGTGTCCTTATCGTAGGCTCAATGCTTAACCAAGCATTTGTAGAGCAATGGTTTTTGTGCTATTTTACATAACAAAAAACCTTTTTAGTTGAGTTCAATGTATGGTGTAAAGCTGTGTCGATAGATTTTTGGTGTTTGTGGGAGTGGTTTTATGCTGCTCCTTCTGGCTTTTTCAACACCAATGCTACTATATGGCATTGGCGTAGTACAGCAACCAGTATGGCAGCTTTCCCAGGGAAAACGTTCCGACATCGAAAACCGAATCAACCGTATCACGGCTACACCGAATCAATTGTATCGCAGCCTTGAGAACATTGTGCATTAGTTCCATAGACTGCGACGCCATATTTTTTTATGCCTTAGGACTAGTATCCTTAGAAATTACCTTTTACCATATCAATAATCTTCGTGTGCTGTGCTTTTAAAAAAACCGTACCAGCAATTATTAATGGAATAAAGTACGTTTTATGTATTTACATAGAAGGAACGGATTAATTAATTTAAATCGGTAATTTAAATCGTTTTTAGTATTTTTCCATATCTAGTATTTTGTTTTTGTTACAACTAGTGCCAGGAATCAACTGTATTTTTCATTGGCTGTCGGTATAGAATATAGGCTGAATTGTCTAATGGTGTATGCGCATTTGTAAAGACGGCTCAGGATTATAATGTAAATGGGACAATTGAGAGGTTAAGCTTTGCTGCGATATATAAACGCGTCTTGATAGAAATTATAATAGAAATTACTGTTGCTTAAAGTTTTTATTACATTATACTCTAAGAGCAAACGAAAGTTCTATCCCATTGCTTTTTTTTGCTATTACTAAAGGAACTTCATAAAACTCGACAAAGACGAACCAACGATGAGAAAGTTATACGGCTGCTTGGTTTTTTTCAGCGAGTAATAGGGTAGGGAGAAGAATGATGTAGTCGGAGACATGGTCAACCGTACAAGCAGGCAGGGAGGCAGCTAGCTACGAGATATTTCAGTCCGAGCCGACATTCTTTGTTTCTTAAACTTAAGAATGAGGTTTCTTTTCATTTCAGAACCACTCCTGGCTTGAGCCTTCTGAACGCCTTCTTTTTCTTTTCCGCGTCCGTCCTGCTGCCGTAGCGTTGTTCTTATCGCCGCTATTCAGCTCGAAAAGCGAAAAAGAGTTGAACCTGTCTGCGCACAGTCGCCACCCTATCAGAGCGCTTCAAAGTGCCCCGCCTGCCGCTTCCGCGATACCGCGACGTTCGGTCATCATAGAGGATTTCGTGTACAAGAACCCCCCTCATCCAATTTTCTCGTTTTCGCTTCGCCTGGGTCTGTCGGCCACTTATTCTTGATTTTTCAGAAAACTTCAAAAATTGTTCCTAGGATTAAACGACATTTTAGGGATTAGCAACGGCATTTCGGCACAGTTTACCGCATAAGTATGAATCCACCTTACGAGTGAACTATAACAAGGTCTCTAGTAGAAAAAAGCTTAACAATATGACGCAATGAGCTAAAAAAATTCACGAACGGATTTATATAATACTCGTAGCACTTTACCATGGTTTTTTATTTAAAAGTTTGCCTCTTTTTGTTGACGCAACTACCGTAAGAGGCACGTGTGTACTTTTCTCGGGCTGTTTACTATTTAACTTATTTCCGTCTTCAGGCTGGTGCAATTTCAGGGTCGTCTTTAAGGTATTAATAATATTTTGCGATGCTTAGTTCATTTTTACTTAACTTTATATCTGCAAGGATTAGTTTTAGCTATGAGACCATTGGGATATTCACGTACGCGGAAACGAAACAGAACTGATCATCGTTTAGCTTCTAGTTGTTACCCCCCAGCTTAGTGTTTGTCATTTTAATCAAGTAGAGTGTGTCGCGCCGAGTGTAATAGGCTCAGAGGAAATTACAAATCATAACTGGTATTCCAAAAACTTAACTTTTTGTATTTAGATATCGTTTGCTTCTTTTTTTTTTTCTTTGTTAAGAAAGGTTTTTTCTGCAAAATATTATTCAAACGTAATAGGCAGAGTCGTATTTTCTCGCTGGCTCCCAAGTCAACAATGTTTAGTCGCGTAAAGTGTTACATATATATCTATAAAACTACGTCAAATTGCTAACACGTTTCCTTATCTGGACAAGAAAACGTATTTATTTACTGTGTATACTTATTTTTGTATTGCGCAGAATGTTTTAGCAACACATTCTATATGGTTAATAATAACAGCCTAGAGGATGGGTAATAAAGAATATTAAGCCCTATATTAACAAATTGGAAGTGTCTATATAGAGCCTGGACATTTTGGAACAATTCAGCGATACAGAACAAATATTCGCGTATTTTATTTGCGAAAATGAGACATTGGCCTATTCACAGATTCTGTAATAAATCCTGAAATTACTATATTGACTGCAGGCTTTCGAAGTGAATAATAAAGCTTCGGTTCGTTCACATTTTTATTTCCTATCTATTTAGTTTTTGTTTGTGTTTTTTCCTTAAACACATTCACTTTAAATACATAACATAGATCTCTTAGCTGGCAACTATTATTGCAAGGTCCCAGTTTTTCTCTGAGAAGTTTATGCGTTCAATAAATCTTGAAGGGGGGTTTCCTGCATTTCTATGCAGACGTACGACTACTGCACTAAATTATTGTATAATCTGCGCAACCAACTGAATTAATGTGGAACTGTCGATAACTTTAATGGTGCATAAAAAAGTGGACAGTTTTGGTATCTTATTAGGCACGGCATGCGTTCGGTGGAACGCTTGAGGTCCACAGGTGCATGTGTCGGTCTGCAGCTGCATTTCTCATGACCAACGGAATTGTCAATGACAACAACCCCCTTTTGCAGCTGGCTTAAAGACTTCCGACGGAAAAGAGACAGGTGACGTTAAAATTTCCCGTAGATATATTAGTTGCAATCGATTTGGCCGCATAAATATCTTATCCCTATAAAAAGGTCTTATAAAAAGTATAGAAGCCGAATGCTTAGGAGTTTTTTTTTCGTTTTTAATCTAGTACACCTATTAAGAAACGAAATATAGCTGCACAGCCGACCTTCCATCGCGTGTATACGCTAAGAATTATACACTGCGTCGTAAAAGTTGAAATTAGGATCCCGAGACAAGGTCAATGCGTTAGTATAAGTTATTGTCTTATTTTCTAAAAGACGTATCGTTTACGAAAGACATGCAAAAGGAAAGCAGTCGGCGCGATCATTTGCGCCGCTAACCAGGAATCGCTTTCCCGCCCCGCCATCAACGTATACTATACAACATGTTAGCTAATCAAGGAAGTCTCAAACAAGTAAAATGAAATTAACCCAGGAACCGGATTTTATTCCCTTTAATTTGATATCACTCTTTTGTTGTGTTCGTCCTTACTTAAGCGATACAACGTCGGCAAGAAGCTGCAAGCCACCATAGTAGCGCCAACATTATCACTCCATAAACGGTAACTTTGCGTCTCTCTTCTCCCTATCGAACATTTCAGCTCGTAGTTCGTAGCTTGCGGCCCGCCATCCTGAAGAACCTGTACAGCGTCGAACTTGTCTTGCGGCAGGGAGCTGTTTGCCCGCACGAAAAATACAAATTTAGGTCTGAATTCGAATACAAGTAATCTAGTGGCTTACAACGAACAACTGACGCACCCTGAGCTAGTTTTGGGTTTCAAAGCCTGAGGTAAAATTAAGCCTCTTTAGCGGCTTTCCCAGCCGTCAGGAACTTCGTGAGGCACGTGATTCGTTTTATAGTGAAAACTAGTTAATAACTATTTGGCGCGTTGTCTGCAATGATAGCCATTTTTATGTTGCTTTCGAGGCCCTTTTCAGTGCGTTGATTCTATTTCCAATGATCGTTAACGACAAAGAACAGACCCCTCGAATTGATTCACATAAACTAATATAATAATAAAACTTTATAGATTAAACGTCCGTTTTTGTATAGACCGTAATTAACGCCATACACAGTTTAAGCTTTCCAACTATTCATATTAACTGCACGCTACCGAGAGGTTTTATTCAATGCGCGGTTCTAGACTGACAAGACGACCTCGCCGATCTAAATACTCGGCTTTAAAGGGTTTTTGTTTTTATGGATATTCAATATTACTCAATTGGGTCGCTGGCTCAAGCCTGGCCAATGAAATATACTAAACGACGTCGTGATGAATGCAAAAAATTCTACCCTTCGGCAAATGGTTTGTTTTTAGCTTCTGATATCTTAATATTATTATTTTGGTCAGATTTTTAGTTTTTCTCGTCTACTGTAAAAACGACTAGCTACATCTAAATAAACTAAGTCGACACAACTAAACATTTACGAATCTAAGGTCAGTATAAGGTACGAGGAAAGAAAAACTGAGCCGGATAGGAGTGTTTAGGTGGCTGAAATCTCTATCATAACTATCTACACCACAACAAGAGAAGAAACACTACAACAGTATAAAAATACTTCAAAAAAACGATACTCATTTGTGAAGCGTAGCCTTCAATATTAACTAAGATCAAGCTATTTCAGAAAAAAAAAAAAAAAAAAGCAGCAGCAACCGTATCGTATTATATCTGCAGAAATATACATTCGTATTGAATGAACTTATGAAATTAATATGTTAAGTTAAACAGGACCCGGTTAAAACGAGTGCTCTGCGAAAATAGTTTAACACATGACGCCGTATCTGGGGCATATGTGCAGAGCCAGGTGACATCTGGCAAACAGAAACCAAAAGTGCGATATAAGATTCAGTGAAAAACGCCAAGTCGAGATAAACTTCCGCCATCTTTTTTTCTTATGAACCAATGATCTCCAAATAGACAGCGTTAGTAGACCTGCATCTCCGATTTTCCACAAATGACCGTGTGTCTTCCAAAAAATATATGCATCTGCTTAACGATGAATCATGGAGCGTTTTTCCTAGCTCTATGTGCCGGTAGCAACAGGGATGTCTCCGCAGCGGAACTTCATAACCTCCGTCCTCTACGTGTTGATAACCAGTTGCACTTCATCGACGTAGAGTAAGAACGTTCAAGAACTTGTTGGGAGTAAAATCGACCCCTTGCAAACGTCTACGAATTATAAAAAATCTTAAGCGGGTCGTGGTAGATTGTTCAGCAACATAAGGAAAAAGCAGTGAACTCAGATTATTAATTTGTCCTACGTCAGTCCCTCGGACGAACAGTTAAAATTGACCCTACGCTAGTAGAAGTTTTTTGTAGGATCGGCCTTTTCAGATGCAACATGCTCTGGTGGACTGGCAAAAAAATGCTGTCTTGGAAAAGAAACGTCATACGAAATTTGATGAACGCTGCGATATGTACAACGTCTATATGTAAACGTCGCACGACCTTTTTGTTATTCTCGATGATTTGCAATGATATTATCCTTGCAGTGGTTACGCGGTTTCAAATACGGCCGTAAATTCGACAGGCGAAAGGTATAGCTGTCTAGCAATTAAATTGTGTTTTAGGGTCGATAGCCCATCATATTCCGTATATACATATACAATTATCCGTGTTAGTTGTAAAGATATCTACGGCGCATGGCGAAAAGAGGAGAAGCTGCTGAGGGCAATAACGGTTGACAGCATCAGTCGTCGGCTGTCATAATAGGTCGCCGCCCAAATTCTATCCATCCATGAGGAACAAAGGGGCATGAATTTGCATTCCGGCCGATAGTATCCACGTATTTGTAGCGTTGGATACATAACGCACAGTTTAGATGAAATCTTCATTTTTTTTGAACAATTAAAGTCCCTTTACTTCATTCTGTCAGAGGGCTCGTCGAGTCGTCTTTCTAAAGGAAGTTTTCCACTCGTGGAATGTATTTAGAAGAAATATGAAAAAGTTGACCATCTAATAGATTCTATAAATCGTTTCTAAAAAACGAATTTATTATTAGATTATTCTGAAAGAACAATAGTATTATACATTTTGCGGTCACAACTAAGTCCCGTACATTTTGACTGTTCAACCATAGCGCTTTGCTTAATTATGCGGCCTGCAAGAGAGCTATGATATTTCGAACGTAACCGGAACGTGATTGAAGCTAAATGATCCTTTTGATTTGAATCTAAAAATGTAGCTTTGAGAATTGAAAAGTTCAAACTTGACCGGCCGATTACTCAGCACCAATTTAAGCTGACGCTGTATCATGGAAGACCAAGTACATATAGTCTTAGATTTGTGTTCCTTCCTACGATTCACAACTCAAGTAAATATTGATCTTTCTCACCTTACCTATCTGATAAACTATATGTACATATTTCGTGTAACTATCGGTGTGTGAAACTAATTTTCAGGTTCTTAACTCAAACGCAGACGAGCTATAGCCCATTTGTTATAACAACGTACATGGCATTGACTGCCATGGGCCGAAATATTTGGCCAGAAGAACCGCAGGTCGAGAACATTCACACATCTCAGGCCCAAAAGCCACGTTCCCGTCATATGTAGTCGGTAACACGGTTTTCATGGATACATGTTAATTTCAATTCGAATCCAGTCGTGGACACACACAGTTCATCTAGTGCTGAGAGTCAGCCATCTAATAAAGTCCTTAACGGCGGTTCCGGACGTAATGCTTGAAGCGTTTAGTCTAGGCCACGTCTCGACGACAAGTGCTTGTAAAAAATTCAGAAAAAAAGGTACTACAATGTATGTTAATAATTACAAAGAAAATATCCAACAGTCAATACAATAAGTCGTATAAATTTGACCATATAAATGACAACACAGTGTTTTTCAAGGTTTACACCAACGGAACCCTTTGAACAACGTATTTTTATTCAACTACTGCATCCGTGACGCTAGTTACTACTAGCACTGGCTTATATTACAATGTGTCTTGTTACGTATAGTTCTTTTACTTATCGTAAACATCAGTTATATAGTACACATATTCTGTAATGTAGTAAAGAGGGACGACCTTACGACATATAAAATTGCCTGCCTGAGCGCGCCACGCATAGAGCGCCGTATGCTACACAATTTTTCATCAAGTACTAATAAAACAGTTACTAAATAACCCTCATATTGTCAATATCTAGCATAATATCGTTCGAACTGCTACAATGTGGTTTGTCAATTAAAAGACGTAGACTATTTTTAGTTATCACTGGACGATAGCATGCTACAAATTTCTTGCAAAAACGGCTTACGTTACGTAGACAGGATCTCAGTTTTTTTTGAGATGTACGTATGACGATAATCTGAAAGCCTCTGTGACCTATCTGCCGTAGTGGTGACCAATATACAAGCCAATACTCGGAAGATAGTGTTATTTCTTAGAAGTCCTTATTAGATTATATGTTAAGGTCGTGCTAGCAAATTTCGCTCTAAATTAACCTGGCATTTGTATGCATGCCTCGTTCTATCAGCCGTGAATCAGCGGACCATGAGACCCGGCGGGCAGTAATAACGGAACCGTGT